CTTACCTCAATATCGCACAGGATATCGTTGAAATAGACGTAAGCATGATAAAAACGCTTCACGTCTGTATTTTCCGAGTGCGGGAAATCAATTGTGATCACAGGCGCTTGTTTCATACAGTGAGCTTAGTTTTCTACTATATAATAACACAAGGTATCCATCTTTCTCGAGACCAAAAATGTAGGTCACCAAGTCAAACCCCTTTTTTATTTATTATCCGCAGCTGGCAACAAAAAACCCACATGCAATGGTTAGCGGAATCCCCCTTGTTGGACCTCATGTATATTTCCTTACCTCACCCCCTCGCGAACTTTGACATTGACCATAAAATTACACGCTTCGTCAATCGAAAGAAAAAGTACATCTCTAAACAGCTCAGCACTTCCGGTTTGGCAATCGCGATCTAAAACACAAGATCTCATTGGCTACTGGTACTCTCGGAGTTTTCGATGCAATTGTATAAGACACAAGAGAAAACCGAAATATTATTTTGGCGCAAATTTGAAAATCGATATTGTTCTAAGTTTTCTGTCAAATATTTTGTAAGATGACAACGTGTTGGTGATTTTTAAGATGATTTGATAGTTATTATTAAAGCAAAAATATTTTGTTAAGGATCCCCTCCAGAGCAAAATGTACTCAAACTAATTTACGTGTGATCGTCCAAAATATAATCGTTGGATTGGATTTTTTTTCCAATAGTGGTAGCAGAGCAATTAAGGAGGAAATATTTGACAGTTAAGTAAATAAAAGATTGAAAGGGCATTTTCTCCTTGGCCGAACTATATGGGTCTTCGAAGATAATGCATGTATCGAAATTTTCACAATCGATCTATCTTAAATTAATGGAACGACTGCATAAATAAGCCCTGGTTAAATCTAGTACTGTCTGACGCCATGTGGTCAGACAATAAGGCAAGGGTGTTCCTAGAAATATATAATTTAATTTGATCAGGTATTCCGTTGCCTTGGAAACCGTCTTCAAAAGCGTACACCTTCAGACCTCTAAATCTGGCATCTAATGTCATCTATTGTAATTTTAAAAATCTTGATTATTGGTTGTATGTATACTGTGGGATATGTCAATGTGACTGTTTTACTAAGAAACTATATATATTATAGTTCCGGAATACATGGACATAACAGATTTGGCGAGCTGGACGGAGTGGTTTTCAAGCACAGGGCATTCTCTACTTCAATAACTCTGATTTAGGACACCCTTCTGTTCAGAAGTCAATGAAAGAATTCTGTAAAAATAAATCTAGCTGTAGACGAAAGGAACTCAACAGTTACTTTGGTTGTAATGTTAACTCCAGCATAGACAGTTGCTGTGATATTTGCCAGCCAGACATTAAAGAACCATGGATACTACGTGCAGTTGCAACCTCTGAACAGAAGATAGCTATCAGAGATAAAATAGATAATCATTTAGCAGAAACTGAGTCCTTGCTTGACCCTTTCATTGTTGAGAGAATTGTGTATGATGCACATCTGTACCAAAATTCTCTGTCCCTTCAGTCAGAGTTTGGACTGCCTGCAGAATTGGCAGAAATGATAGCAAACATTCTGGAATCTTGTTTACATTGATAAGAATCATGTTCAGTAAGCAGGTAAATAAATTTATAAAATAATATTAATATCACAATTTGCATTTTAAACTCGGGTGACATATTGCTACCCGTTTACGTCCGTCATCGTGCAGTGTGGATTGTGTGTTAACATTTGAACATTTTAAACGTCTTGTCTGCAACCACTGAACCAATTTCAACCAAATTTGTTATAAAACATCTATGGGTGAAGGGGAGAAAGAATTTGTGAATTTCATGGTCCCTGCCTCTCTGGGCATTATGAGTGAATGTAAGTATATAGTTATGATCAGTCATAACCTGAAATTATCAATTAAATTTATAGTCATGCGACTCTGTGCTAGACGCCACGTAATATTTATACCTAATATAGTTTGTAAGTGTCTACATGAAAAGAGTACTTACAATTTCCTTCTCAGTTGCCAATCTCAAACAGTTGGAGATACTTGTGTTCTCTTATCCAACCAATGGTGTTTTAATTTCCTTTAAAGGACTTTTAATGGGATTCTTGCAAGAGATCATTTGTCGACTAGGCGCATATGCAAAAGGTTGTAGTGTTACACGTGATTTTATTATAAGCAGTTCATCTTCACAAGAAGATAGGATTTTATGTCGGCTTGCTAGTAGTAGTAATTTGCTGATACTCGCACACTTACGATCCACCCACTCCACTATATAAGTCTACCAAATATGTTAAATGAAGCAAAAGACTTGGAGACTAGTCCCACCCACTGTAATTTATAAGTCTGCCAAATATGTAAATGAATTCTACCCATTGAGTAATAAGACTTGAAAGCGTTTACTAAATGTTCTTACAGAAAGCTCAAGATCTAAGTCCACTCGCACATTTTTACCATCCCCCCTCCTTCACTATGTAATGTTATCAAATATGCAAAAAAGGTTAAAGGCTCATATTGAATCCACTATGTCAGTCTACCAAATATGTTAAATAAACCAAAAGGCTAAGATCCACCCAATACTCTATATGAAATATACCAAAAATGCAAATTAAGTAAAAGGCTCAAATTCACTTATGTTCTTACTGAAGGCTCAAGATCTGACTCCACCGATATGATAATAAGCAGAAGGTTGAAAATCACATACTATATGTTCTTACAGAAAGCTTGCAAATTGATTGATTCCAGAACTTTCCCTTGAACTATCGGATGAAACACAATATAGGGTGCAATAGGAATACAACATTGTTATACATGGTTTAAAGAAATGTTATTTTCTTTACATGCAATTTTTTGTAATTCATTTATAGGAATACTTATAAAGGATTTGCGTGTAAAATTCTGTTGATCTAGCCTTAACAGAATTTAAGTAAATGAGGACAATGTACCCCCAAAATGGCTTTTTTTTTCAGCGTTATGCGGTTGTACTTTGAAATAACAGCATTTTTCAATTGAAATATATGTTAAATATCATATATTTTCATGACAATGATCATGATCAGACTTAAGAGTTTATTTTACAAATTATTTTGGTGCTTGAATTTTCAAGATTGAATAACTTTTGAAGATATGAAAGAAAATGTAACAGGGGTACAATGTTATACATTTTTCACATAATTGTACCCCTCTCATTATGCCAAATAAAAATAACATCCATATCATTTAATTTTTCAGATTTCTGTCTAAAATCACAGTATTAAAGCTCTATTACTTACAGAAAAAAAGTTGGGTTATGAAACCATTGTAATGAAATTTTATCTTGTTTTAACGTGGAAAATGAAGTTTTTACAAAAAAACTGTAGTGTCCGTAGCCACTTAAACTCTGTGAAATTGGAAGGCTCTATAAATATCTTAACTAATTTTTTAGATAGGCATTTCAGATAAATGCTGAGATGTGTTGTAATTTTCCTGTTCATCACCACTGTTTCTCTGTTATGATCACAAATGTGGTTAGGGACACTACAAAATCCTGTAGTGTCCGTAACCTGTACTTGAGGCAGTTAAAACACTAATGCTAGTCTATTCACAGAGGTTTGTTTAACAAGTTAATCAATGTACTTTATTTTCTCCCTCATTTTGATAATGCTGCTAGTTTTGGAAACCCAGATTGCACCATTCCATATACAAGATCGTTGGTGTAAGTCATCACCTTGATATTGGGAGATGCTATTGACATCCTAGGATTTCAGTCGAATAGCATATCATTATTTTTAGGTCACCTGAGTAAACTCAGGTGACATATTGCTATCTGTTTTCGTCCGTCGTCGTGCGCCAACATTTGAACATTTGCATTTTCCGCTTCTTCTCTGAAACCACTGAACCAATTTCAACCAAATTTAATATACAGCCTCTAGGGGTAAAGGGGAACAAAATTTGTCAATTTCATGGTCCCTGCCCCCCATTGGGCCTGGGGGGCGGGGCAAAAACCACTAAAATTAGTGCAGTCTTTAAAAATTTTCTTCTTTAATCCTGGACAACAATCGGTCAAATTGTTAGTATGGTTGTAATCAGCATTGAGTCCTCTACCAAAATCATGAAACTCATGAGCAAAAGTGCCTCTACCAAAATTGTCAATTTTATGGCACCAGGGTCAGGCACTGGGTGAAAAAAGTGGTTTCCCATCATGGGAAACTTTATGGAAACCACATGGAAACCTCAAGTTTACATCATGTTTCCCAGTGGTTTCCGCAGCGGATGCCAGGTTATTCCGCCAAGTTTCCGTGACACGGAAACCCCCTACGCTCCGATTCCATAAGGTATCCTGAACCACGGAAACCTCTGTAAACCTGAAGTTTCCCGAACATCCATGTAGTTTCCCGTAATGGGAAACCTAAAGATTCCACTGGTTTCCAGAATCAGGAAACTTGATGGAATCGGAGCGTAGGGGGTTTCCTTGGAATGGAAACTTGGTGGAATCTTTAGGTTTCCTTTTACGGGAAACTACATGGAAGCTCGGGAAACCTCACCATTCCTATAGTTTCAGTGACTCAGGAAACCACATGGAATCGGAGCGTAGTGGTTTCCGTGAGATGGAAACTTGGTGGAATCTTAAGGTTTCCTTTTTAAGGAAACTACATGGAAGCTTGGGAAACTTCATGATTCCTAAAGTTTCCGTGACTCAGGAAACCACAGGGAATCGGAGTGTAGTGGTTTCCGTGGAATGGAAACTTGACGGAATCTTAAGGTTTCCTATTACGGGAAACTACATGGAACCTCGTGAAACCTTACGATTCCTAAAGTTTCCTTGACTCAGGAAACTATATGGAACTTGTGTAGCAGTTTCTGTGTGTTGGAAACTTGGTGGAATTATCTGGAGTCCCATTTCTGGTTGAAGTTACTGGGAAACTGCAAGATTCCCCAACTTTTCTTAAGGAAGCGATGTGAAATTATGTGTATTCTTTCAAAAATCTATCAAAAAAATTATTAAATGTAAGAGAAAAAAAGCATAACCATTTTATATGTTTAATAATTCATTTGATGTACAAAAACTGAAACAGTATTTTTCAATGATATCAAAATACTAAATAAATTCATATATCTTAGATAAACAATGGAACAGTCTTTCACATTTAAGTCCATTCATAAGTGTCATTAAGTACTTCTTTCAACATCAGTTCCTGGTATTTCCTTCACATCACCTATGATCTGCAATATTCATACAAAATTATCATATGATGTGGTCAGAATTATAATGCTTGAATATACCTTAGAAATCTGAAAGATCAGTCAATGTTCTTTAATATACCAATATCAATAATTACTTTCCATAACCATGATACATATGATTTCAGCATTTAATGTGTCTCTTTAAAATTTAATGCTTTATGATAAGGAAAATATTTTTACATAATATAAATAATGTTTTCAGCCTCATTATCTCATTGAGAATATATTACAATTTCATAGAACCCTGCTTTAAGTTGAATTAGTTTGAGAGAAAATATGCTCTTTATAATAACAAAAATATTAACAGAGATAATTTTTTTTAATTTTTGATATTTGACTAAAAAATTGGTTGGAGATCATTGCAGACCCTCCACACCAATTGCATAAAAGCTAGATTATACCAAGGGAGAAATATACTCTGGACTACGACTTTGAATAAAGATATACAGTACATTTTGATACTGACCTTTGACCTAGAAAATTAGTCCAAGGTCACTCTTCATCCTCTATCCACAGGCTCTCTGTAGTTTAAGTTTGAGAGAGAAATATGCTCAGCACAAGTGATATCAGATGGCATGATGGGTAGACACACTGTCTAAGGGCATCCACAGAACAGGTCTCTAAAAACAATGCAATATATATGTATTACAGTATGGATATACATGTACTTGTATGTTAATGATTTATCATATGCTGCATTGGACACATATGCTTTTATCATGGTGTAAGTATACATGTATCTTATGAGTAATTTTATGCCAGTATTGCATGTACACTCGGTTTATAAACAAGTAATTTAAATTTTTTTTTTACAAAAATTTACCAACATTATTTACATCCACTCATCATGTTCAAGAATTGGTGGATCAAAATTCAGTAGTTTTAGATCTCTATGATATACTGTAGACAACTTTCACATTAACAAAAGTTATTCCCCTTTGCAGGATCAATCTGGGGTCAATCGGCTTAAGACGCTGTTTTCCCTCTATATAACCGTACCAACTTTGAGGGTCAATATCTTGGAAGTGAAATCTGTATGAACATGTTCATTATGATTTTCATGTTACCCAATACTCTGGCCATACAGATACAGATCGTAATTGTCCAATATCGTTTGAAGACTGAAAAAATACTAGTAACTTACAAAGGACAAAGTGAGAAAAATGAGCGATACACCGACAATTGGAGACAACTCTTAGCAATGTGAAATTTGTCTATTGGTGATGACAATTCCTGTTTTAATGTCACTGAAAAATTAAGAGACATTAAAAATTTAAGCCCTATTGTCATGCATGCATGCTGTTTTTTTTTTAAGTATTTTCAACCAAACTATAAATTACAATTGCTTGTAATTGAAAGATGGATCCATTACACATTGCACCCCATTACATTGAAAAAATGTAATGATTACAATGTATTACCATTACACATTACCATTACCCCAGGTCTGTTTTCAACCACATTACCTTTTATTATCATAAAATTTACCAAAATTTAATACTTCAAATAATTTCATTGAATACATGTATCTAAAAAATTGAGGAAACTCTAAAAATTTAGTGTCAGACTTACAGAAATTAATCTTTGGAGAGAAAAAAATCTATCATATAAAGATGTGCATAATGAGCCTTTTTTATTCATTTAGAACATATCGTATGTGCATCATTTTCCCAAGAAATTTTCAAAGACAGTGGACTATTTGTGAGCAGAATTCATTGCTGTTTACTTAATACATTTGGAAAATTTATGAAAATAATCAAATAATAAATAAAATTTTTCTTAATCTCAATTTAAGGGCAGATCACTCTAACTGCATAAAACTACCCAATATCAAAGTAGAGCTCTAGATCTTTAGTGTGCAGTTTTTAGAGCTTCCTTCAACATGTTGAAGTCATCAAAATACTGACCAGCAAGAAATCAGTTAATAACATTTCCTCTTTTTCATTCAAATTTTTTGAGAGATCTCAAAGTTTTTTCCTCTTCAATTCAGGTTCGAGATGACAAAGTTTTACTGTAGTGTATGTATTAGAGAACTAATTGTATGTCAATCACGACAATACATACATAACATGGAGGGGGCAAATTGTTTCAGCCCTAGCTTTTACATAAAACTTCTTGTAGCTCAGAGCTGATAAACCACAGCTCAGTATTTAAAATTTAGAATCATTTTTTTTTTCCAGTCAATTGTTATACATACCAATCATGATTTAATTACCACTTACCAAATGACCACATCCTGAATCATCATACATTTTATATGATTTTATCTCACTGGTTTTCTTTTAAAATTTTAAAGTCATGCAGTTTTCTTCTCTCTGAAATGATAAATTATGTTAAGGTACTATTGCATTCTAATTTAAACTAATTATGTAACAGCATTAGCAACAACAGGGATGGGCAAAAAAAACAAAACAAGATGCGCTTGTAAAACACTATGTGCCCGGCGGCAACAAAGTTTCGAAAAAGCAATTTTTTTAGCATATAGGTCACAGTCAAGATGACAAGAACACATAATCATTGTCCTTGTTGTCACGTGAAAGCACTTCATAAGTGGAGTATGCATACTAAATATGATGTCACTATCTCATATAGTTCTAATGTTATGGTGAAGGTTTAAGTTGACAACAGACAGACACTGAGATAAACAGTTATGGCAAAAGTTCGAAAAAGCTATTGTAAAAAAAAAACATATAATTACAGTCAAAGTCACAAGGTCATTGACCTTGTTGCATTTCAAAGAACTTAATTATCGTAGTATGCATACCAAATATGAAGTCTCTATCTCTCACAGTTCAAAAGTCATGGCAATGGTTCAAGTTGACAACAGACAGAAAGAACAAAATCAATACACGTGCCGAATCTATCAATTGAGGCGTATAAAAATTTCAAACAAATGAGCATCATCTAGTTTGTACCATTCTACTTCTCCTATGTCAGGACAACCATCACTAATTCACTATTTCATACAAGGCCACCGTTCACGGTAGCCTAGTGGTAGAGCGTTCGCTTTGTGATCGGGAGGCCCGGGTTCGATTCTCGTTCTCGGCGCCGCGTCAAACCTAAGACGTAAAAAATAGGTAGCGACTGTTCCTTCGCCAAGCGCTCAGCATCAGAAGTGAAAGTCACGGGTCTTTCGGATATGACCTTAAAAACGTAGGTCTCGTGTCACGGTGGGCGCTGGCACGATAAAGAACCCTCACTGCTCAATGGCCCTGAGTGCCGAGTATAGGTCTAAATTTGAAGCCCTTCACCGGCATACGGTGACGTCTCAATATGAATGAAAAATTCTCAAGAGAGACGTTAAACAATATACAATCAATCAATCAATCATACAAGGCCAAAATAAAAAATAGTCTTGTTTCCTGCTACAGACCTGCCTACCCTTTTCGTTGCAAGGGTGTAATTTCAGAAATTTTTTGGTGGAATTTCAGAGGTAAAAGCGTAATCAATCATGTTTTCCAATTTTGATGTTTCACTATAGTACTTTATTTTCTTCCAAAACTACCGAAATTGTACATAAATAAACAAACCTCGCATGAACTTTCCTTCTTATAAATTATTTATTGGCAAACGTGTTGTAAAATACCAGTATCGTATATTAAATATAAATCGCACACCCTTAATGAAGCATGCGGTCAAATTGTATCAAATCACTTAATTGAAGGCTTGCGTTTGCATGTTTATACAAATTGTGAATGTTTATAGAAATTGTACATAATAACACTTTTCTTTTCTTATGACATTTCTCTAGTTCAAAGCAATGTTAAAATGAACTAAATCGAGCATAGAAATAGCGTACTTATTGCAATATCATTTAATAGTTAACGTAAGCAGTGCCCTATTGTGTTCTTCGTCGCCCGCGTGGTGGAGTGGCTAGAGCGTCTGCTCTAAAGCCGCGAAGTAAGGAGTCAATCCTAAAGGTTTGAATCCTAAAGTGGGATGTGGAGACCGGTCCTTCGGATGAGACCGAATAAATAGAGGTCCCGTGTCGCATTAGGTGCTGGCATTAAAAGATCCCTCACTGCCCAATGGCCCTGAGTGCCGAGTAGAGGACAAAATTTGTAGCTCTACACCGGCAAGTGGTGGCGTCTCTATATGAGTGAAAATATCAACTCGTGTTCTTCCGATTCTCCGTCATACCGGTTTACATATTAATACTAGGTATATAGCGTTAGTTATCGAAGTGGTCCTCTATTAATTAAACTAGAACTTATCATTTCATTTCAGCAGATCGAAATTTGACTCTAAATGTAGACGATCATGATGGATTTATACCTAAATACCAAAAGCGTAAAATTAATATCATTGGCGTAATAGCGTAATTTTGTGGTAAAAAGCGGAAGAATTACGCCAAAAGCGGAAGGGTAGGCAGGTCTGTATATGTAATAATAAAGAAGGAAGAGTATTAAACGCTTCCCGATCGTTTCACATGCGAAACAATCTACTGCTAACGTAACGTTAAATGACGTAGCGAGGCTGCTCCGGGTCGACAGACATATGCATATTTATAACTTCACAGAAACTTATATCATTATCGTAGGAATAAGAAACTTTGCTTAAATGGTTGAGACGTTCTTTATAAGATGTGGATGAATTTTCATGAAACTATCTCTGTCCTTAATGATGTAAATGTAATTGTCTCAATAATTTCCGAACAGCCCTCGTACATTGTACAATTACTTGTAAGCATGATTTTGTGCATATTATGTGCCCTCGTATGTCAAAATGAGCAACAAAATTATGTTGTGACCTTTTATCATTGAAAGCATCTTGATGCAACAAGGTCAGGATGCTTGGTTCTGCATGATCTACATATTCCTACAAAATGAAGCAAATCACTTTGAAAAAAATCCTGGCAGCAAGAATTGTAATAAAGTTAAGATAAATTGATTTGCATTCAAAAATATATAAAAAATTAAAAATTACTTTTAAAGTTAAGATAAATTGATTTGCGTTCAAAAAGAAAATTTACATCAAATTTTTCACTGAATTAAAGAAAGGACTTTTTAAAAATCACAAACACACTGACACAGAAAATTCTAGCAATAGCATTACCACTTCCAACAGGGACTAAGACTTGAAACAGGTAAAATATTTCTCTTGACAAATTGAAATCAACAGCTCTGTCTGGTTTCGACTTTCCATTGTGGAGTGGATAGCGGCATGTAGTACTGGGCTGTCTCCAATAAATCCTTAAGGAATCGAAATGACAGCGGCATACCAAAAGCAGTCGTCTGCACGACTCTTCACAATCAAAACATCCTGGCCTATACAGTAAAAGGTCAGTTTCTGTAGCCGACGTCTTCAAATATGGAACTTTTAGATACCTTAAATGTCTGGTAATATCTTTTTTACAACTGACAATTTTCTCCCCCATTCTATTTTTGCCCCTTTGACCCTTGTCACAATTGGGCAAATTTAAAACTAAAAATGATACTTGGCGCATTTAAAATGGGGCAAGTGTAAAAGGGCAACATAACATGGGGTAAAAAAAAACCCTGTATGTATACAGTATTGTGTAAGTTTAAAAATTGTATTGTTTGAAACAAAAATAGGCCCAGAAATATACCCGGTATACCAATTCATAGGAGTGAAACGGTTCACCACGGTATCGGTTCACCATGGTAAAATATGAAATTAATATCTTCTGCACATTCCATCAAATTTGTTGTACTTGCCAACATTTCCTTCCGCGATGAGGCTTTCCCCAGCAAGTTCTTTTGAACCAATTACTATACGCGTCATTTTTTATTCGCGAATGGCCGCTAGAGAACTAATCCGCGACGATTTATTTCAGGGATTAGTGGTAATTTTTTCTTAATTTACCCATGTATTTTTGGTATTAGATTAAAATTTTACATCCGCCCATAAACAAGGTAGAATGCTACCGTGAGTACTGCTTACGCATTATCATTCTCGACATTCTGTGCATTGTGTCCATCCGCACCAAAAGTATGTTGAATGTTACCATGCGTATAACACTTCTTATGCATTATTCACGACGCTCGTATGAAAATCGGGAAAAAAATCGAGGATATTAAAGTCGATTTCAAACTCACGGGTGTAAAAGTACCTCATGCTAAATGGGTAATTAACGCTTTACCATATCTACATAGCCAAAGGGTAATTAGTATAAATGGTTGGGACGGAGCAAGACTGGGCCATAATTAGTCGTAATTAACCAGGCTCTCTCTAATTCGTCCATAAAGAACTATAATAACACAAGCTGAAATAATCATTGACTTTCAGTTCATTTTTAGACAAATAGTTTTAGATTTGCCATTCGTTTATATATTTTTTCTAAAACTTTGTAATTAAAGTTCAACTGCTTCTAGAACACTAAAGGTGCTTCCGTGATTACTTTATTGAACTTTCGGGATCGGTACACAAAAAGGACAAATAACTCTAATCATTACATGTGAACATGAACAACTGATTCGCGAGATAAATGTCCGCGAGCAGAGGTTACTCGCGTAACTCGCGGATATTCATCACACGCGTATAATACTTGGTTTACAGAAATTATATTGTACCTTCTACATCAGTTAGTATTTTCCCCATGACACACAGCGTCCTGAGTCCTAGTGGGCACTGATAATTTTCTTTGTTGATCCTTTTATCATGACCTATATGGTCCAAAAATATCTCCTGATTTATAGGGTACATGTGTAAGCTTGCATATATAGATGACAGCCTGTGACGAATCTTTCCTGCTGTTATTGAAGAGTCAACATCAGGTTCGATTGACAACTGCAAAAAAAAAAATGGTTCTTAAGGGAAATCACAAAGAAGGTTCTATTTTCAATGAGAATCCATATGCCTGGAATCACATCTGTTGGAACCAGAACAGGAACAAACATTTTCCTTTTGTTTTTAAATATACAAGCAAAAACTGTTCCTCTGGATCTTCTTTCTCCTCCATCTGAGTCGCCTGCGTGGCGCAACGGTTAGAGCGTCTGCTCAAGATCTACAGTCGCGAAGTAAGGAGTCAATCCTTACGTCGAGGGTTCGAATTCCACTGTGGGACGTGGAGGCCGGTCCTTCAGATGAGACCGTATAAACCTAGGCCCCGTGTCGTAGTAGCTGCTAGCACGAAAAAGATCCCTCACTGCTTAAAGGCCCTGAGTGCCGAGCATAGGACGGAATTTGTATCCCTCCACCGGCAAGTGATTGCGTCTCCATATGAGTCGAAAAATTCTCGAGAGGGACGTTAAATAAAATACAATCAATCCCCCATCTGATGTTTTGGATCCATGCACACATCACGCGCAGCATCTCTACATTCTTA